GTTACAGTGACTAAGTAATAGTAAGTCAGATTTCTGAAAAACTATTTCGTGTCAATATGACTGAAATAGCATATAAGTTCATAAGTGTGAAAAAAGAATACTTTGTTAAACGTAATTATTTACAATTATGTTTTAATAATTCACAATGGTTTAAGTCTTCTCTTACAGAAATATCACTGAATATACAAAATTCAAGTGTTATAGTGAATTATAGCAATCTAACGATAATAATTCTGTCGATGGCCTTGGTGACCTAGCAGTAAGTACAATGGCAGCTTGATGAGGAGGTTCTAGGTACAATTCCCAGTAGGACCAATTTAGAAATTTATTGTTAGAAAAATTTATTTTCTAAATTCTTTTTGGTCTATCTGCTCTATTGCCGTGGTACTAGTAGTGTAGGGAACTTCCTTGTTCAGACCAGGTCATTGGTATAATTATTATCTGGCATGGCTTAATGGCCTCTCTCATGGCTTAAGAAATTATTAATTTTGAAATGGAGAAGTGATATTTCTCAGCAATGGCATAGTCACCTGGGTTCAGGTACTCAGTTTAAGAACCGGCGGTCATAACGAGTGGCACCGCTTTCTGCATTTGTGCTGGACCCGATACTCCATAGGGTGTCAAATTGGCGGCGACACTGGTTAAAATTCACCCGTTTTACGGACAGAACAATTGGAATTATTATTCAATTATTATATTGAATATCTATTTTAGACTCTCGCCTCTTCTATGGTCTAAAATACAATTTTGAATTTTAAAATAGGAGAGGCAGTATTCCTCGGCAATGGCACAGTCGGCCTGGGTCAGGTACTCAGATTAAAAAACCAGCGAATAATACGCGCCGTATCGAGCAAGACGGCTTGCTCCATTTGGACTACAAACAATTGGGATTATTACAGTGGAGGCAACGTCCCACATGTCGGTGATCAAATATTATTACATTTTTCTTTTCTCAGTTTGTTGGCTGGTTTTAACTACATTTACGGCCCAAAATAAATAAATGAAGTACGGTGTGTGTCTATGTTCAGTGTGTTGTGATAAGAGCCTATTTCGTCATATTATATCAGCATTAATTTTGAGACAACTCGGGATGTATTTAAAATTATAGCTTTTAGCAAGGGTTTCTTTTAAGTCTTAATTATTTGAAGGTATAGAGAAGATAAGTACGAATGACGCCTGTTGTGAAAAAGACAATAGGGACAAACATATATTTTTCCTTGTCACCAAAGTCTAATTACTTCATCGTTGAGTTCTTCCAAATTTCTAATTTTCATTATTCATTAGCAGGCAGGTATCCATGAGAGGTAAAATTAATAGAAGAAATTATTTAGGAATTGTTCCATTTTAAATATTAATAGTGACCGAGATGGTGGAGATTGTTATGTAGTAAAAAATAAGGCCGATTGTTGTACCCTGCCTTTTGTTTTTTGTATGTCTTCGTATTTCGTTATTGTCTACGACGATACTAATATATATATATATATACGTATATAGTTACGTACGTATTATGTAATAAATAATACGTACGTAAGATAAATAGACAATACGAAATACGAAATAAAACCAATGTAAATCTTTACGTACTAGCGAAAAAGTACACAAATCACATTACAAATGGGTAGGAATTACAAGAAACACTTCGTATATTCAAATTAAATAGGAAACATGACGTATTTTACTATTACTCGGTTACCCAAAACTCAAGTCTAATTAGTTACAGTGTACAAAATCAATTAAATGCTACTAACAGATAGTATTGGGCCAACCGCAGTCTCAACCCGAGGATTCAAAGGGTATACAGACTAAAATAACTATACCGATTAATGTAATTCCTTTGCCTACAGTTTGCCCGTAACTATAGACGCATGAGCACATCGACTCGTCCAAAGAACAGAGTCCGATGTGATTATATAGCGAACATATAATAAGTACGTTACGAGAATACGTTCTTTATTCAAACTAAGGTCTACGTAAAGGTGTTTTCAGAATGTATATACATTATTTCATTTCGGAAATATAAAATCGAGGAACGGTCGACCTGACATCCACAGCGAAAAAGAACGAACGAAATGCATTATGTCCTGAGAACAAGTTGTCTTGCACATAGATCTTTGTTCTACGGATGAGTCGACATACAAACTTGAGAGAGAACTGTTCAAGCGTAGCTTAATTTAGCAGATTAATTTATTTAATTATCTTAGATATATAAAGAAATTGTGCTTTCAGAAATATTATTTGATTGAAGTGTCAATTAAAGTGATTCTCATTAACATTGGTGTCATCGTAAGGGACTATTTTAATATATATTTAAAATTCTAAGAAAATAAATTTTAGACACAAATCAAAAAAATTTTTTACAATACCAAGTGACGGGACGAACAAGTTGTGCGCCAGCTAAACGTCACGCGTGTCCATAACAGTTGCAGACCTCAGAGTTTAAATCGCAAAGATCTGAGCGGCACTGCCACTGCGCCTGTCACTCTAAGGCATAAGATTGAAAAGTTCCATGTGCTTATAATTTCACCAGCACCCTTACAAGGGTAAGGTAAACCGAAACACAGTAATGCTCACATTCCTGTTTGATGGTAGAAACAGGTACGGTGTCAGTATTTCCCTGGATGAACTCTTTCACAAGGAGCTCTACTGTTAAAATTCTAATAACTTACAAATTATTATGCATGAGAGCCTTATTCTATTTAATAGATAGTAACTAGAGTGAGGCTCTCGCGGGTATAATAGCCTCGAATGTAATCTAAATCCTTTGCATACGAATTGAAATTAACAATATAAGATTTCTTCCAATTATATCTACATTTTGATGGTCGGATGTTTGACTAGCTAACGTTGTTATAGTAATAAATAGTGTTTGCTGGTAATGCAATGCGTAGCTAACCCCCGATAAGAGAAAAAGAATCGCCGTATAAATAAATATCAATAGTTTCAAAAAACGTGATGTCCGTGCCGCAGCCGTTACCGGGAGAATACGAGTACCACGCCACTGGATTCTGGCCACGTACCAAATACACGTAAACGTCTGCCTTGTATTATTGATACAAATAGAGATATCAATTGTTCAGGATAGAACTACTATGAGAATGGCGGTATTTTCTGTAGGGGAAATGTTATGGGCAGTTTTGATGACTTTGATGTTTCCCCAAGTTTGGTGCGAGATTTTTACGAACTTTAGTAATGTGATTGACCACTGGGTTGTCCATTTGAGTTAGGGGGCGTTTGCGTTTATACGAAGCAGAGATGATGAGATAATCAAGAAAATTGATGCGTATGTTGTTTAGGTTACTTTGCGGATAAGGGATATTAAATATAGGTATGAAGTTAGTTATCATAATAATATGACTTTTGTAGATATTGTAGGCTCAATATAAGTAAAAATGAATGTATCAAAAGTTACATGATATGAAACTATTTTTCATATCTAAATCGCGTATATTTGTTTTTGACTGACCACCAGCGAGATCAAAGGACCTGTAAAGAGCCCGAAACCATGGTTTGTTTAAAAAAATATACATCTATATTTATCTATCATTTAATTTTATCATCTATATATTTTTCATATTGATCTATATTTGGAAAAATTGTTCCATTCCCTATGTGTAACATTCACAAAAACCTGAAAACTCGTCTACATGTAATGTTAAATAATTAATGCCTTCATTTTATTTTTTTCCATTTTGTATTTCGTTAATTTTATTTATTATTAATTATATTATTTAAGTTGAAATATTTGTAAGGAAACATGTTCCAGGAAATATAGTTTAAAAATTCAAGGAAATATTTTAATATACTAATTTCATTCCAATTCCAATCTAAGTAAAATTCAACCAAATTTGTCATGACTTTTGCAAAATGGTGTAGCCTTAGCTTTTTGGTTTTTTACTATTTGTTAAGGACAGAAAAAAGGTTAAGATGTATTTTCGTTATTATTATATAAATGTAAAATTTAATAGTTGTTAAACAGTAAATTTTGTGATTGCTATAATTAGGCGAAGATATCTAATCTTAGTCTTATTGTATACACAGTGCAATGATTTTGGTTGGGCAATTTCATTGTATCAACTGTAGTCGTTTCGTTAACAAACTTCTTTTGTTATCGTATCCTAAAATATTTAAGATTAATCGGAAATTCTTTTTCTAACATTTTTATATCACGTCGTTTACTTCCAATGGTTTTGTTCTATACATTTGCATTAATTTTTTTTACACCATTACCATGAAAGCAAGCGGATTTCAGTGGGATATTTGAGACACATTTTGAAGGTATGCATCTAATGATTTGTGAAGGGGAGCCTACATTTACCGGCGTTTGTGTACCGTCGTTTCTGAGTCTATTTATACTACTAAGGTTGTTCAACTCTCGAGCCGGGATAGATGGAGATGATAATAGGAAACTTTTATAAGGCGAATGTTCATTAACTCTGAACTAAGATTATTTTTCGTGTAATGTATATTCATGAACTTTTTACGTGCTTTTTGCCTTTCTTATTATAATTAATATATTTTCGATGTCGGAAATAATTTATTGAACTTTTCAATATGCGGTACTGACACTAATTAGATTTTGGAAAATTTGTTGTAAATAATATTATTTATTTACGAGCTTTCTGTGTAATGGTAATAAAAATGTAAATGTCATTTCTAACTAATCTCGATTATTTGGTTTTGTGTAAGTTTTTGAATGAAGACGGTAAATGATCATTCATTACTTTGCTTCAGCCAGCTTTTTCTAGGAATTTTCCACTTCATAAGTTAAATGTAACTAATCTTGATTGCTTGCTATTACAACATAAATTAATATGTTTCTTCTAAATATTTTATCAAATTTATAAATATAATGTCACATGATAAACACGTCAATTTAGTTATATTTTTTATAAATATTAACCAGGTGTCTAAATGCCGGACGAGAATGCAAGATCAAAATATGCCGGAGTTATTTAGTTGATACACAATGGCCTGTACACGAGAATGGTACGACGACCAACCTCCTCTGTAGTCCGTTGAACCAAACACGTTGCAGATACACAAAAAATCAAACCACACACAAAGTCAAATAAAAAATGTGCACTTTATTGGTCAAAAGAGTACAGTTACGTCACTTAGTAAGGACTAAAGTTTTTCTTAAATTAGTATACTTGTTAAACTTGATTAGTTTTTATACACGTAGTTCGCGAAGAAGTTGGACGAGTGCGCCCCACACACGACTATCCGGCGTGCCGGCCGGCGCAGTACTAAACTAGCTCTCCTGGTTCCATTCCATACAAAACTTTTAAGTCATGGAGACTCTACAACGCACACACATAGCCGTACTCAACACCCTATGCACAAACACGAAAGCGAGCTTCCAAGTTCACTAAATAAACGAACACCAACACTACCACGCGCCAACACCGTCTACCCCCAGTTCAGCCGGCAGAAAGAGACACGAATATCAACAATGTATTCCGGGTTTCGAGCGCGAAAGAGTCAGTAATACCGCAACAGATGTATATCATTTTACGCAGGTAAGTATTGAAAATGTTGGTGTGTACGAATGAGACGGTGAACAAATTTAGCTTATGCGATGCCGGCTAAGTGAGAATGGGACAGGGACTGTTCAAGTCACCCACTGTACATTCCTTCCTGATACCGGAATACGGCCGTACCTTTCGATCGCTCAAGTGGCAGATGAAGCTTTTAGGGTTGTCACACGATCTACGCAATGTGCGTTAATACCCTAAACTTAATCGATTTCACTGCAACAAAACAGTGTAGCGACAATATTGGTCATGTATAAACATACTTATATATAAAATTTTGTTTGGCACGGAACTTAGACGAAAATATTTAAAGTGTATAATCAGAGAAAGTGCCTTTGCCTAGAGAGGTTGTAAAAAGTAACAAGTCTGAGGTGTACGTTGTAAGAGTTGCAAGCTAATAAATGATTCAGGTGGTTGCAGAAGCATCCCTGTGCCGGGACGACACAAAGTAGCAGGTAGTGCAACCTCTAAACGCGGTACAATCAGCGTAATCGGTACCATTACTGCACATAAAGGTGGTGGCTGTAATATAGGTAACATAACATTCGCGGTGAGCTTGATTCGTTACGGCATTTGCGGACTGACCAGTGCCATTAAAGGTTGTGAACTAGAAGGTATTCGTCAATAGACCGATAGTCGCGTGGAGTACTGTACTGGACTACGTGAAGCCTCCAATCGTAACGTGTTACGTTGTGCTGAATTAAATTAGTTAGTTGCCAATTTTAAGCTTTTTTTTATGTGATACTAAGTGACTGGATGAACAAGTCATGAGCCTGTTGGTAAACGATACGCCTGTCCATAACAGTTGCAGTGCTACTCAGAGCTTTAAATCGCAAAGATCTGAGGCGGAATGCTTCTGCACCCATCACCCTGAGTCATACGTTAACAAGTCCTATGTGTAGGAAATGAAACTTATTTATTTAATTGGATTTAACTCAAACCAACGTTTGGGGTCCTTTACAGGTTGACTAGTCAACAGTGATTATGGGACCTGTAAAGGGCTCGAAACGTTGGTTTGTTTGAAAAAAAAACGAATATACTCGATTTAAATCCAGAGAAACAGTTCAATTTCCTATGTGTAACAATCGCGAAAACTATGTGCCTATAATTTCACCAGCAACTTTAGCCTTCAAAACCGGAACGCAGTAATGCTCACATTACTTCTTGGCGGCAGAAATAGGTAAAATGGCAGTACTTCCCTCGATGACCTTTTTCACAAGGAGCTCTATTACTATTAAAGCTAAAATTATGAAACAAAAGTAAGATGAAGTACTGCCCGCTGGAAATCCAGCATGTAAAGTTAGGGATTTGCATGAAAATAACTATACCAAGTTATTTCTTTAGAATAGAGATATGGACTTATCGAAATTTTAAAATTATATAACAAGATTATTACTACAGTACATTAATAAAAAATATAAGAATTAATTATGGTTACGGATATGAAATTACTGATTCAAGTTGATAATACCGTGGAAATTGTGTGCTGAGAAATTTCGGACGCATATTTTTTGCATGTCTTGGCTACTTTGTTCAGCGTTTCGACGTGTACAATGAAGATGTCTGCCTTTGTTAGGTTTTGCTTCTTTGTCGTGTTCTAATTTACAAATCTGTTAAAGTTAATGTCAGATTTCCCTACATTGATAGTTCAGTGAGCGCTAAATGTAAATAATTTAAAATTTGGAACGATCAACGTTATTGTTTTAAATTTTAAGGTGCGTTTTCAATTGTATCCTGGTATTTGTTAGTTGTAGTCGTTCATAGTGACGTAAGGTTGTTTTTTTGTCAATTATTTGTAAGTTCAGATTATTTCATACTGACCTCAGCTATTTAAAATCATATTAAAATAGAGTCTATATAAATGCACACGAGATATAGTAAAATGTAGAGATTCGTAAAATATTTCTATTATATATTACTATATTTCCTCTACTGTAATTATTAAAGAAAGTGGCTTTAATGAAAACTAATAGTTATGTAAGCATATAAGTAGCATGTAGAGAAACAACAAGTAAAGAAAAAATAAAACATTGTAAAATCGTTTAAAATGTTCCTTGTCTTGTTATAAAAGCCGCTGGCTTTTTTATTCTCCTTAATTTTGTTTTTAAACGACTTTTTGTAGAATATCAAATTTCTCACCGCAACATAAACACCTAATCCATTGCCTCTTTCATTAAAAGTTACCGAAATTTGGCTTAAAAAAGCGGCGGGCATGAACCTTCGCGCTTCTGGGAAACCTGAAACGGGTGAGGGTGTCTGTTGATGATAACTCGCCAAGACACCGTATCTAACACGCTAACACATAAATTAGAGAAGTATTGTGTTCACTACCTATTCTCATCATACGATCTCTTGCATTTACAGAGAAGCGCCATGCCTAAAACAAGCAATGTAATGTTTTCGTAATTATTTCTAGCGATTTCGAAAAAAAAATTTTTTTTTAGGAAATTACTACATTTTTTTTTCGGATGTTTATCGCGTATATTTTTTGTCTAACTTAGTCAGCCGTGACCATATGACTTGTAAAGTCCCCGAAACGTTGGTTTGTTTGAAAAAACAAATATTTGCGATGTAGATCCCAAAAAATGATTTCATTACCTGTGTGTAACTGTTGCGAAATTCTGAGAACTCGATATGTCATTATTTTTATTTATGGCAACTTGTAAGTACATAATTTAAGCATGAAGTACGTGACGGAGTAAATGAAGCATAAACAAACGCATTATAATCTTCAAAAATTCTTTGTTCCGCAATTTCAAATTCTCCTTTTCACTTTTCGTTATTCTAATCAAAATCAACGTTGCGATCTCTAAAAAACAAAAAATGTGTGATGTATGATGTGTTTCTGACAGTTTGACATGGGTAAAGTATTTGCGGTACACTTCATTAACTTTTTGGGTCCCATCAGAAGTTCTGACAACAATGATTTCTACAAAAGTACAGGTGAACCGAGTTTTCTGTCAGAAAAAGTTAATCA